TCAACAACCCAAAACGTGTCCTATCTGTAAACAGTGCGGTCGTTCAGACGATCGACACTTTCTTAGTCAATGTCCACATTTGCCCGAGTCAGATAGGAGGTACATTGCCAAAGCCCGACAGATCGTTGACATTATCGATGATAGTGCAGATTCTGTCGATGACCCAGTTAGTGACGTATTAGAGCCTTCTGCTCTGAGAGTTCAGGTCAGGCAGTCCCCATATCTAGACGCGTTTCACCAACATCATACCGTTCGAATCACAGTCGACAGTGGGGCAACAGGTAACATGATATCAGTTTTCACAGCCACTGCATTAGGTCTGTCTCTTATACACATCTAGATGTGTATAAGAGACAGGTATAGGCTTGCTTTATATATATTATGTGGTTATCTTTTGTTCTAGCTAAGATACTCCAGCCAGCCCTCTGGCCCTATAGCTAGTAGAAGAGACTAGGCCTAGACTAGAGTACTGTTGTAGGGTAGTGTAAAGGCATAGTTGGGATAATTTTACTTGTTTGGGCTACACTACAAGTTGGATGTGTGGGCTAAGTTTGAATTATTAGCGGTAATTTTTAATCGCCTAGGCCTAGACATTTCTTTGCAAAATGGCCACGTCCTGTGTTGAATGCTATAATAGGTCTATATTAAATTAAATATAATGTTAAAATGTGGTTGCATGGACCATGGAGGTATAAAATCTATTTTTATACCTCCATGCATGGACAAAGCGCAAAAATAAATAAAACAGCTAGGCCTAGGCCTATTATGTGTGTTTAATAATTCATCTCATATCATGGGCCTACATACTGCCAGTGGTATAATAGCCACATCACTGTCATTTCATCAGTAATCATTTTTGTTTTTTGAAGATGTTAATAATGTAAATTTTTATATTTTCTTTCAATAAAGAGAAAAATTAACAATAGGCCTATATCTTTTGATAATAACATTTGAGGCTATGGTTAGCGTAATGAATAATAGAAATATAAAAATAGATATAGGCTAATTTAGTTGTGTGCATAGGCCTAACTCTAAATAATATGGTATTTCTTTCAGGTTTTCAATCCATTGACAGAAAGCCATGTTTGTTGCAATATATTGTTTGTGGTAGACACTGGGAAAAAACCGACTATTGAATGTGTATTTATTTTGCCTCTTGGTACAAAACTGATGGAAGAGCAGCCATGATGAAGCAGTAAAGGTATATAATTTTTATTGTTAAATTTTGCAAGAATAAACTGAACATTTGCTAATACTGTACCACTATCCCACAGCAATAAGTGACTACCCTACTGTGTCACAGTAATAACTATTTGTTTCTTGATTAAAGTCTTGGGTACCTAAGAAGGCATACAAACAGTAAACAGCATTTGTCTTAATCGTCGTTTTACGACTATTATAGTCGTACAAAGGCGATTATTGAGTTTAAATTAATTGGGCACAGTCAAATCGTAAATATTATCTTCAAATGCTTAATATTCTGCAACGATAAATGGCACCTAACTTCGTAGTATGATGCTGTTTGAGTTGCCCTTAAAGAAAAATGTATTTAAATCTTTGGGAAAAAAAAACACATTCTATTATTAAAGTGCCTTAAAGTTTTTTTCAAACTTACTTTTGTTCTCCATCCATACATGTTGTTTGGTGTTGATCCTAATTATATAGCAAAATATTAAATTGTTTTAGTTTAAGCCCATTATTGACCTAGGCAATTACTGTACTCTATTACACAACATTCAATTTAATATTTTGCATATCAAAAGTAATAAAACTGAATGAATATGTGTTTTAGGTTAAGTGCCACTCTCTGTAGAGAAATGTCTAACTGTCCATGTTTGCAATACTGTAGTTCATAGTGAATATTTTTCAGTATTTGAATCATTATTGGTAATGCTTAATGTAGATTGCTATGGGAAGAACAGTTGTTTCAACTATCTACATGATATTCAAGTATTTACATTTTTAAAATTTACCATACAATTAACTTTAAAATAATATTTCAGTCTTCTTTTTTTAAAATATTTTTGTTTTGTTTTTATCTTTCACAAAGGTTCTTGGATACCTTGCTTCAATACCTCTGGTCGGACAAGAAAAGACTTGGCTAAGGAGTAGAGCTTCAAATAATTTATCACCAAGAAAGTTACTGATTTAAACCGAAACCTGTAATGCGAAAGATTCTTAATTAAGCTAAGTGGACGTGCAATAGTAGCTGTTGTTATATTACAAAAACTATGATTTAAACATGCCTGTATAGTACAATGCATAATATTTTATGTTTTTTGCAAGTTTCAATAAAAGAAAAATGGTCAAGTATATTTTGAACTCAGTGTATTTTGTAAGTTTAAAGGATTAAACATTGACATTGACTCAACATTGAACATTTTACATTGAATTAACATTGAACATACTACATGGAATCGACGTTGAAATTTACGTTGATGAAAACTTTCATATTCAACTAAAACTCAACGCTGATTCAACATTGATCATTTGACGTTGTTTTAATGTTAAACATTGACGTTGAAACAATCTTAGGCATTTAACGTTGAATCAACGTTGAAATTTACGTTGATGAAAACTTTCATATACAACCAAAATTCAATGTTAATTCAACATTGGTCATTTGACGTTGAAAAATTAGCGTTGAAAGAACCTTAGACATTTTACGTTGAATCAACGTTGAGATTTACGTTGATGCAAACTTTCATATACAACAAAAATTAAACGTAGATTCAATGTTTGCATATTACGTTGAATCAACGTTATTTCAACCAAGTTGTGCCCACTGGGTTGATTGATATTATGAACCAACTAGGCTTAGAATTGCCTCAAAAACGAGACCGTGAACAAGCTGAAGATGTTATTGCAATCAACATGTGGCAAGTCAATTAACAGAATAATTATCGGGATAAGAGCCTTCCAATCCAGTGATTTATCGGTATTAGCTTGCTGGTTGCGAAGCGCTTGTTTTCTATCAGGTGATCCCGCTCATACGGTTGGTGTCAACCTCATAACAAGCGTTTGTTCAATTACTACGATATTACCGGTGTAACTCACACCGTCGGAACAATTTGAATATAGAATTTGCTAGCAATAATAACATGGAGATCCATTAATACCGGTTTAATTTTATTCACTGAAATGTGCACCACATTTTGAAGTGATCGCCATTTGCACGTTAGAGAATGCAGTACACTATTTGGAAATGAACGTTTCCAATATTACCACCAGAAGAACCCTACTGTAAATAGGTCGTCGGACTTTCATTGCTTACCCTTCATGATCTTGTTCATATCAAATAATCGATCCCATTTTGTTTGCGACTTTCGCGTGCCCTTATATTTCACGAAATTCGCGATAAGAAAACGATCATGAAAATTACAGGTACGCAAAAATTGAGAAAATTTTAACAAAAATGTTTCACCCAAAAAAACGATCGTGAAAATATATAAAACTGCTGAAAGCTACGACAGTTTTGTTATAAGACCGATAGCGATTTCTGTAATAAAGATATTACGAAACCTTTATGTGGCTATTCTCGCTGTAGCAAAACAATTCATTGTTTATGTTCTGATTTTTCGGCTGTTCCCCATGGTTTTATTTTTTTTTCATTTTAAAAACAATAATGTATAGTATGTAGGAAGAATATCGACAAAATTGGTAAACATCGTAATCTTAATTAAATGTAATCATACAGGCCCATTTAGCAGAGACTGAGACTTTCCAGTGGCCAGTCAGTTATTTGTTTGTTTGTTTTTATTTCATGCTCACAAAAAAACATATAATAGAAAAGAAGTACAAAACAAAGTCATTCAAAAGTAACAGAGGAAAATAGCAAGAAAACAGGTCGGATTTAGCATTGGGTGACCCTTTAAACCCGAAGGTTGGTTTCAAAAGGGGTCCAGAAAAAAAAATTATACACACACCAAAAGTCAGAATACTTCTAGCTAATGCTTAGGTATTGTACTCAGCCTGGTTGACAGTATACTATTAAAAACTTACTGAGCTTCCTGAAATTTTGCGAGTTATTGTCGCGAAATTCATTTACGTACCTGTTAAATCCCGAAAATAAAAGGCCACGAAATACTTCATCAAAATCGCGAAAATTTTGAATAACTGAAAGGGCAATCCACGAGGTCATGGAAAAGTAGGGTCTACCAAGTTAGAAAAAGACTTATGGGATGTATCGTTGGTTAATAGCCTTTAATATATCTATGCATAACAATGGTACAAGAAGCAAAGAGATTTTTTTTTGCAGTATTTATTGAAAGATATATATATTCGATATATGTACATTCTGCTTAAGATTGCTGCAAGGAACGATTGGATGGCGCAACCGTTCATGTCGGAGATGACTCTAATGGTATGCTGACTAATGCCCAATGTGGGGGAAAAATAACCGATGCAGAAATCAACGCCTCGCCCGCGATATTTCGAGAGTGCATTCCACCACTTAAAGGACAATACGTCAGTGTCACGCTGCAGAAGAACTATCTGACGCTCTGTGAGGTTGAGGTGCTTGGACTAGGTAGGCCTATGGATTATAATTATTATGTCATTGTGAATTAATTGTCTGAATGATATGTATGTATAAAACAATAAATTCATCAATCAATGCCTGAATGAATGGTAGGCTTGATAATGTGTAATTGCCGTACCATATAAGATAAAATAGTGTAAAACATTACATAAATGAATAAATTTATAAATACAAATTTAAGAAAAATGTCAAAATATTACCTTTAACTATTAAAATATATCGCTTAAATTGAAAAAAGTAAAATGAAAAACAGGCTATTATTATACAATATATAATTATTACAATTATTACCCTCACCATAATAGACCTAATAGTAGGCCTAATAATAATAAGTTATGGCATCTGAAAGTGACTGTTGACAAGTTTGATGTGGTTGTTTACTTGCTTTTATCTAAAAAGTCGGCTTCGAACATATTTGGGACGTTTAAAGTTATTCTGAAAGCGTAATGGAAGGTGCCTGTGCTTTTATTAATCTTCTTTAACGACACTAATTATTCCCCAACCGAGACTTGTTTTGATGTCATGTGGATCGGCGTCGTTTCTGGTAGTGCCATTCTTGGTTTAATGGCCCTCGTGCAGTGAGCGTCAATTAGTGTACCTTCGATTTTGTTTTTATTATAAGGCATAATTTGGTCGTTTATAACTTTAAGGTGAGGCCAGCCATCTGTTGATTCAGGTATTTGATTATGCCTTATAGTAGTAGTATTGAGTAAGTCTTAAAAACTTTTAAAATCAAAATTTAACCCCTTACAATCTGACAATCAGTTACGTCTTCATCGAAGAGCGTAGACTAAATCTATTTTCCATTTTGAGCCTTTTAATCCTAGCCTTTCCTTAATAGATGTCTTCATAAATCACTCATCCGATGGGATATCTAATAGGTAAGTATTCGTCTTTGCGGATTACTGGTATGAGCAATATATACGGGTACGATTAACGAGTTAGATAAACTAGTTTTTGCTCTGAATGATGTTACAATTTTTCATCAGGTTGTGACTTAGATTCTGGATCAAAAAGAGCCGTAGGATTTCTACTGTTGAATGTGTCGCACCTTCATTTTATTCTACAATCCCTTAATATGTGTCCTTTCTTCAAACGTCTTACTTAGAAACTCGTCACAGTTTTCTGCATAGTGATCTTTAGAACACACTCCACATTCTAGCCGTCTGCCAGTCGTTGTAGTAGAAAAACTCCTAGCGAGCGATGTTTTTTTGTTCTTTAGTGTAACCGTTGCTGTACATTTATTAGAATTCTCCTCCTATAATGGTTTATAATACTGGATTGTTGACGATTTTAGCTTCATTTTTAAGGAAATCACTGAATGTATCTCCTCCATCTTCCCATGATCTTCCGTACAGTGCTTGGGAAACTTTCCGCTATTTTTACGTTTTTGTTACTGCTAGCAATGCTGTATGACTCATCGCCACCTTTGTGTTGAGAAAAAAGAAACGATGCGTTTATTAAACTTAAAACAGGGCCAATCATATATCTTGCGCCTGTAAGCGCCAGCAATTGTAACAGATCCCCGAATTTCTGGTCTAGCAGCTTCTTGTCTTTTGAGAATGCCTCTCTATGAAGCTCGAGTAGACCCGAAATTGCTTGTTTGGCAGGTCCATCGGTGTAGGTAGGCCTACCTAGGCATAATTTATCGGAGGCCGATTCGGGAGAACGTTTTTTTCCCAATGAGGATAATGTAGTAGATCTCCTTCATGTCTTGGTCATGAAGGTAGTCTCTTGAAAGTTAATCAGCTAATTTCGAAAGCACGTTTTCTGAAACATCGGCTTTGAAATCAACTTCTACTTTCGGTTGAGTCTCTTGTTTTTTGGGGTTTTTTTCTATTTATGGTAGGTAATAATTCTTAAGTCATTATACTACTCTATTTCAATTTCTGGCCGGACGGCAACTAACTCATTTTTTACCTTCATCCTTGCTAGTTCAGTTTGTATAGCTTTGATCTCAAGTTCTTATCTTCTTTTTCTTTTCTTCCAAATACATGAGATCAACGTCTAGTCTTGCAGCTTCTGCAAGTTTACAAAATCTTGATGACTTCGAAAGATACTAACAGCTAAAAGATAGTGTCGCTATACAAATCTTTTATTATTATTATTATTATTATTATTATTATTATTATTATTAGGCGTCAATCGCTAAAGCATACCATAAGGTTGGGGGCGAGATCTCAGATTGCGGTTTATCTTAATTTACAAAATTCATGCTCTGTGCTATGGAGAGGTTTTTAAATGATTGAATGTTGACAGCCTGCTAGCTATTAATTTTCCTATGCACGGTCGCGTATCAGGCTTCGCTGAAAAAGAAGTCTTCAAGATATCGAGATGTGTGACAAATGAAATATTAAATAATTACATCCTTTTTTTTAAATTGCAAGAAAATGTAAAACATTCCGCCCTCCAATTCGAAACCACTCTGTGTATCTGAAACTTGGGGTTGTCTCGGGATTTGGTCTCAAATTAGAAACCTCTAAATAGAGACCACAGACTTGAAGTAGTCTCCAAGCAGCATAATTTGAGGGTAAAAGAACCTGAAACCTCCAAATGAAGACCAAAGATAAAAGTGGTCTACAAAAGACAACATGGGACAACTATTTATGTATTTCAAAGAAGCTGTTGTTTGCTTATAATTTTTTCAGCAATGTGAAGCTGTTTAAAACAAAATGAAGAAAAAATCTAAACAGATACTGTAAATTAAACATAACATTTACACTTTATTTGAAAGCTAGGTTTAGGTATATAAATGTCCATCCTTTACATAAAG